CCCCCCCCCCCCCGAGGATGAACACGGCCCAGTCAACATGGCAGTGCACTGCAGGGTAACGAGGAAAAAACATTTGACTATATATCGTCGCCAACAGCTGAACCGCCCTATCTTGACACACACACAGCCCCGCATCCGAGAGGATGGACGACATGCTCCGCTCGCCCGGATGATCATTTGGCACTCCTCGCATGTCCCAAACGAAATTCAAAATTCGTGTTGTTTCATTTTGACGAGAAATATCGATTGGTTTCAGCAACAATGCGCTTCCATGGATCGATTTTTTTATTTTTGGCAAGTCAACAACCTCTCAGCATTGTCACCAGCAACGTTGACTGCTGCAAGTGTACCGTTCCTTGTTCGTCCAGGCGGTTGGCGCACGCTGGCACACGCCAGGCCATGAACCGCGCAGCGTCTGTTTGCAGAATGACACGTAAGACCCCTGCATGGATGTTTGTGTTGTTTCGGCTGTGATCATCTTCGCATTGAAAACGGGTTGTTGACCGTTATACCTCGAGGCATGGCATATCGAAGGTCGGAGGTGGTGGCAGGATAAGGTGCCGATGAAACACGTATACCATTGCACTCATTCCAGATTCGAATATCTTGAGGAGAGTTCAAACCAACGGTTGGCAGCCCGAAGATAGTTCCCATCCGACGAAAACGATCGGGGCATACTCGCCGCTCACGCCCCAACGCTCCGTCCGTGCGGAAACTTTACCCGCCGCACCCAAACTCCTTACTAAGAGCCTGCCTCCACTCTGATACCTGCATTTGTTGTAGGTGATTGGACGTACCTGCCATGTCCATTACAAGTCCTGACCTGTACATGTGTAGATGGTGCGTGTCTGAGGCCAAGGGAGTTGGGACACAGACCTAGATACTCCTCCGACTGATGAAAGCACGTGGCTCGTCATCTGAGTCAAGCTGAAGGATGACCTCCTCATCGTCAGACATGCTTCAGACGTTTTTTTTGACAAGCCCATGTTCAGGTCGACAAACCTGACGAAGACATCGTTGAAGTAATACCGTGGTTTTCACCTCCGCACGCCGAACACTCCTTGAAAATTGCCCGGGAACGCCGCGAAAGGAGGAAAACCTCTCCTTTCGTAAACCATGTTGAGGCCACTCGAAAAGTTGAGGGGTTGGAGACAAGGACGGTACATTGGTTTAGAAGTACTCCGGAGTACGTTTTACGAGGGACAAACAAAGCGAAAACGATCCGGCTTCGGAGGCTTCCCGCGTACCAATCTGGCATGCTCTACAGCATCAGCAGGGGACATCAGGCAGTAGCGACTTGGGCTCTGGGCTGTGGCTGGGGCCGGGACAGCGAAGGCTACAGCTGGGTTCAAACCTCTGTTGTTTGTTGTTGTTGTTTTTCTTCACATTAAACTCGTGTCAGTTGCTAATCCCAAAATCTAGCAAAGACTCGGTCCGTGGTCACAAAAGTGCTAGAGCCATCAGAAGATCTAAAGAACACGCACACTTTGCAAGAAAAGGTTACACAAGCCCGAGAAGGTACACCTGCAATCCCTGCAGCACGTTGCATGCTCACGACTGAACTACACGCCTACACACTGCAAATCGACTACAGCAGCAGCATCACCCCCCTTGTCCCGCATTCAACCAAGATGAACGTTTGTCGACTACAGCGTACTGCTGTCTGAAGTGCTGTCTGTACAATAGGAACACCATGGTGCATGGTGCACAAGCTCGGGGCATGCAGCTGCTGTCTGAAGTGCTGTCAGAATGAGTCCGTGGACAAACAATGAAGAAGAACACGCAACCGAAGCCATTATTGCAATTGACAGTCACCCGAATCTATCCAGATCATCTGTGTTAGGCACAGCAGTGTAAACATCGACACTGACTAGGAATCGTTCCACATTGAAGGGTCTATAAATCAGACCAAACATGCTGCACTCCTGGCTCGCCACGACGAGCCCCAACCCCTGAACTGCGGGTCATCCAAGGCAGTTGTGGTATGAGGTGTAGCTGTCGACACGTAAATCCGGGGATTGCGCCTGTGAAGGCGAGCGCTGCCGGGAAAGATGAATACTTTGGGCCGAGAATTTGCAGACCTTTCGAGCCGCAGCCGCAGCCTTCAACAGCACAGACCGATCAGACCTGAGCGTGCCAGCACACACATTGATGGTCCATGATATGTGCCACTGTTGTGGCATACTGCAGTGGCATACTGCATAGGTTGGGGCTCCGAAAACGCGAAGGCCTCTTCCTTCAGCATCCACTTTTTCTCAATGTGTGGTGTTGGCGTTTGAATTTTAGGGTGTGCATGGATGTACACTGCGTGGTATGCTGGCGGAGACGGACACAGCAGTTGCTCTGTGCGACATCAAACGAGTGTTTCCCGCTCAACGCTTTCCAACTGGTCTGGTATATATCATGTATTGCTGGGCGATTTTTCGGTCGGTATTTTGCCGTCAATCCCCTCAGGCAAGTCGGTTGGGCCAATAATGCTCCGAGGAATTGAAAACTGCGTCTCTTCGCTACACACCTCTTCGTCTGTACGGCGAGAAACTGTGCGTTGTTGAGGATGGAAATCTCCGGCACAACGTTCGTGGTATGTCCACCCAATTTGTGCCGTGTCCGTGTAGGAGATGCTGGCCGTGTATCGGATGCATGTGCTCTTGCAAAGCCGGTGTACGCATGCTTTTTGTACACATTCGCAGCATTATGTCGATGACGTTGACGCTTAGTGCATACAACTGAAAGTCACGACTGAATCTTTTGATTACTCATGTCAGCATCTGCGCACTCTCTCTCGGGTTGTTGCACCACCCGCAGTGGCGAATATCGTTTCTTCAGCTGGAGTTGCGGCAGCAACAGATGGTTGCCGACATCAGCGATTCTGCAGCAGAGGCCGCAAGACTTGCGCTGGAGATCATTTCAACCATAGCCGATGCAGTGTCATGCGCGGTGGACTTGGGTGAGGAGCTTCCTGTCGTCAAGCCAATGTTTAAAACTCTCAAGGCCATCCGCACGACGGTCGAGACCGTGAAAAACAATCGGGAGGAGCTGGCTGCACTGTAACAGAGGTGCACCTACATTACGGCATTTTTTGTCGTGAGGTGCAGGCTAAACGAAAGCGACGTGGATGTGGCTCCCCGCAAGGACTGCGTCGAGGCGGCGAAGAACTTTGCCGAGCGTTGTAGCCGGAGAGGCAAGGTGTCGAGAGTGTTGAAGGCCTCTGGCGACAAGATTTAGATTGCCCGTATGAACTCAAGGGTAGACCACCTGACGTCCGACTTGGGACTGGTCGGGATTGCGGTTCTAGAGGGGAAAGTGGACGAGGTGAAGAAAACGCTGGTGAGTCTGCAAACAGCTCGCTCCTGCGAGCGGAACTCGCCTCTGCTTCCGCCTTGAAGCGCTCCGCTCTCTTATCTGCTGGCTACACTTTTCTCTTAGTTTTCGCCGGGAGGGCCTCGCGTCCGGAAGTTCGTGCCACTTGCGTCTTTTGCTTGCCCGTCTGGGGGATTGTTTTTCAGCCAAACGTTTCCCTCCTTGTATCGGGGCACTCACGGGAAACACACAAAACATCAAACGTCTTGATCGATATTATGCTCACATGTGCTGCGATGATAAAATAGAACATGTATTGCATCAATGCATTGCATGCGGCGCATCAGGGCGTTGCGTTCTTTGACTGTGCGTCAAGAATTGCGTATTCAGAGCTACGGCTTTTTCAGTCAAATGATATTTCTTCGTCGCTTTGAACACTTGAGGCGGTGTTGCATGGCGGGGTTCCATGTATCTACCTCTCACGCACTTTGCATCTCGTGTATCTCCAGGGTCGCATAGACCAAAGGCTGGAGAGTCTACCAAGGTCACTCGGCAAGCAAGCGGCGGTTCCAATTGGGGCGCACGTACGCAAGAGCTGGCACGTGGAACGTCGGCACGTGATGGCGACGGTGCTCGACGCACTCAATGGTAGTGACAGAGCTTGTGTGGTTGCATTAGCGGGCTACAGCGGGTCCGGCAAAACCACCGTCGCGGCCGAGATCGTTAGGAGTGCCGAGGTGCGAGAGGCCTTCTCCGACGGTATCGCGTGGTTGCCGGTGTATCAGGGAGCAAAGGAGCGCCTCCCGTCCTTGATGCTGCAGCTGGCCCGCAAGGTTCATGAAGAGATTGGTGGTAGCGTAGGCCGTGTGCCCAGCGCGTCTGAAGACAGTGCGACCTACATCAAACAACGGCTCGAGGAAGGGGACAAGAGCAGGGGATTGAAGTGCCTCGTAGTGGCGGACAACGTGCGGGAGGAGGACGTGGTCTCGAAACTCGTGGAAAGGGGCATGTGGGTTCTCCTGTCAACCGTGATGAGGCGGTCGTGAAGCGTGCACGAGGCCAGGCTGTGGTAGTTAACGAGCTGTCCCAGGCAGATAGGGAGTAAGTGCTGAAGAGAGCGGCAGAGCTTCCCCCCGAAGCCCGCTTGCCCGACGATGCTGTTGACCTGATCAAGTTGTGCGGCCGCGTGGCGATGGACGTCGCGTTCGTGGGGCGATGGAGTACAGTTCGCGGCAGGCATGACCCAGAGTCTTGGTCGGATGCGGCCAGCACGATTCGCACTGAGATGGACAAGGTGGGACATGATCCCGACAACGATAGCGCAGAAAACACTCCAGCGAAAAGGCGGAAAGCCATTCTTCAGGGTGGGTTCGAGGATCGTGCCATTGAATCGGACGACGAGCGTGTGCAACGGTTCTACCTGTCGCTCGCGGTGATGCCGGATGGCCATGCTTTCTCGTTGAAAGACGCCGCGGTGCTGCTTGACGATCGACCGCCCAGCACCGAGGACGAAGCATCAGCAGGGGGCGTAGTAGACGTTTTAGAGCGATGGTCGATCATCCGTCCGGCACAAGGGACTTACCGAATGCATGATGCCCACACCTACTTTGCGAGGGAGTGTCTTCTGGACCGTGGGCATGTGCGCCGGCCTGCTTTGAAGAGGTGGACGAGGTATATTTCCTCCCTAGATGTCCTCCGTTCCACGCGCTGCGCTGCGTTCTGAAGGGTTTATGTCTGGCTATAGAACGCTTGGGTGGAGATGGCTGGGTCAAGACACGCCCTTATGCGAAGGCGTTGGGCATGATGTTGGGATCGGACGCTTTGCTCAAAACAACTGCCGATGCTGTGGAATGGTTTCAAGAAGCACAGGATGATTTGGATGGAGCATCCGCTTCGTGGCACCGACTGCTGTGGAGAAAAGGGAGCTTGGGGCAGACCACCCGTTCGTGTTAAACACGTGCGGGAACCTAGCTATACGGGCAGAGCGATTGGGAAATATCGAAGAGGCTGCGAAATGGCATGAGAAGGAGGTCGAGGGGCTCCCTCTGGCCTTGGCTAGAATGAACGCGCTAGTCGGTTCCGGTCTGGACGCGGATCTAGATGACGCGGACAGCCTTTCCTCTGTTGCAGCAACCGCTTTGGAGTTCAGACACGGCGATAGAGCTCGAGCGGAAACGCTTTTAAGGCGGTCTCTGGATATTATCAAGAAAGCCGTTCTGGGTCCGGAGCATCTCCAGGTGGCTGATACGCTTTGTCAGCTCGGTGTGTCTGCTGGAGAGGCAGGTCGGCTGGACCAGGTGGAGGGATTGCTGAGGCGTTGCCTGGCAATTAGGAGAAAGAAGCTGGGGCAGGAGGATATGCAGGTGGCCTGCACGCTGTCTGAACTGGGTGCTTGCCTTCGAAAGGCCGGACAATGGGGCGAGGCGGAGAATTTGCTGAGGCGCTGCCTGACGATCGAGGAGACCAAGCTGGGACCAGAGGATGTGCAGGTGGCCACCACACTGCAACAGCTCGGTGTGTATGCTAGAGAGTCGAGGCAGATGGAGCAAGCGGGGGAATTTGGAGGCGCTCCCTGGCAATCGAGGAGACCAAGCTGGGACCAGAGGATGTGCAGGTGGCCACCACATTGCAACAGCTCGGTGTGTGTGCTAGCGTCGGGGTGAGGCGGGTGGAACAAGCGGAGGAAATGTTGAGGCGCTGCCTCACCTGAAGGAGGCCAAGCTGGGCCCTGAGGACGTTGAGGTCGCGTTTGCGCTGCACGAGCTAGGCATACGCGTTCGTGAACCAGGACGATTGGGGGAAGCGGAGGTGTTGTTGAGGCGTTGCCTGGCGATCAGGGAAACCAAGCTGGGCCGAGAGGATGTAAAGGTAGCCCATACGCTGTACGAGCTGGGCGCATGCCTTCGACAGGGAGGTCGATTGGAAGAGGCAGAGACATTATTGAGACGTTCTCTGAGGGTGCGGAAGGCAACGCTGGGGTCAGAGGATGCCAACACGCTGCATCAGTTGGGCATATGCGTACGAGAGGCGGGGCGGCAAGCAGAGGCGGAGAGATTGCTGGGGCACTCTTTGTCAATCGAGGAGGCCAGGCTTGGGCAACATCATGCCCAGGCGGCCGATACGCTGCACGAGCTTGGTGTGAGTGTTCGTAAGTTGGGGCGGCTGCGGAACGCGGAGGCGTTGTTGGACGACTCAGGAAGATCCACGCAGAGTCAGGGCCAACAACATCCAAGCTGCCCGAACGTTACATGAGCTGGATCTTGCTTTGGATAGACACGGTGACTGAAGCGGGGTAGACACCACGGCTATCTCCGCGTCACGTATCTTGAGCGCTACTCTCATGCTTGCCACACGGGACCATGATTTGAAGTTAAATGCCAATATATGTTGAAGTTAACCTGATTGGAATCTTGCACGACCGGATTGCAAGTCGGTTCGGTAGAATTGTCCGGCTGACCCTCAGGCGGAGATGTGCAGAAAAACTATGAGGTGCGTGTGTTTTCGTCCTTTCTGTTGAGGTACACCGTAGATAAGCAATAAAGAAACGAGTTATTCGTGTGCGCAACGGGTCAGGAAAAACCCAGAAACAAGCAGAACGTACGACAAATATGTAGACTGTGTGACGGAAAGTGTAGCAATCACTGCGGTTCGAGGGAGGAAGGATAGATCGGAGACGAGTTCCAGGTGGTGTTGCATGTTTGGTGGTAGTGAGTCCCGAGGTCTGGCGCGGCGGAGAGCAGGAGATAAACAGGGAATATCCTACGTATCACTTTCGCTCGCTCGCTCTCTCTCTCCCTCTCTCGCTCTCTCTCCGACGTGCTCGAAACACGTCAGTGGCATGAGGTGCCAAATCAGTTCGTCAACTCGCGCCTATTCTCTTGGTTCCGAATACCCTGCTAGCCCCAGGGGCCGCCAAGAGTGTGTAATCTTGCCGTCGGAAATCCATCATTACATGCCGAAGCGCTTACCATGACCGTGATTGGGCGTGGAAGTCCCAAGCTGGCAAATCAAAACCAAATCGCCACACTTTTCCCGACCCACCCTCCACCGATACCTCTTCGCTCAATGCTTGGTATTGTTCCCGCCTACATTGAACCAATTCTGAACGATCTAGTCACCGAGAAGTAGATTCCGAGGGTGGGAAGACTACACCCCGTTTCGCTGTTGTTCACGTGGAATAAGACAGCAACACTTGGAGCAAGTTATCGAGAAGTTGCGTAGAGTCATCGATCAACGTCATATCCCTAAAACGTTGTTTCCTCTCCTAGTCTTCTCCCGACTTCGCCATGGCCGCTTGGGTCATCTCGACGATCAAGGTTTTCACATCTTTCCGGCTTTCCGCGGGACGCGGGAAGGGCAGCCTGAGCTTGCCGGATTGTCCGTCTGGCATGCCCACAAGTACGTACATGCCCAGTCGGTCCACGGCCGTAATCTGGGCCGAAGTCACCTGTATCGTGGGCGTTAGTCGTAGTTGTGGGCGGGAATGGTGTGGGTTTTGGGTTCAGTGGGGTGGGGGGAGGCAAGGGCGAAGGGTGGTGCTGTGTGTCGTTGGCCTCATGCAACAAAGGGTGTCGCTTCCGAGACGGGGCTTTGGTGATTCTACGTGAGCGACAGTGCAGGAAGTCCGTTTCTGCCGCGCTGCACTCTCGCCGCCTCAACGCTAAAGGTCACAAGTAGTTCAGGTAGGTGTATTCACCGCATGACATCGGCCCCTATCGCCATGCAGACTGGAACAGCAATGGACAAACAGCATCAAACTACAGCTCACTAAACACAACATCCGCATCGGCAGTCAACGACACTAGCACTTGCAACGCCGCCCTGTCACCTCCACGCCTCCCGTGATGAAATGCGCGATCATAGCCCTCGTGGTGTCCGAATGGTCGTCGTTCATGTGCTTGCTGATGGGGGCGGAGAACTCCGCCACGGGATCGGGAGCAGCAGTCAGGTAGTCTAACCAAAGTAGCACAAACGATAAGCAAGGCGACATTCAGCCACACAGAGTCAGTGGGCTTGCACGGTCGGTCCGAAAACATCGACAACGACGAAGAAACGGGCAAGGGCATGGAACACAAGTCGAAAGCGCAGCCGGGGTTCGCCAGCGCACAACATCCGATAAAACGCTCTTTTTCGGGTTTCCAAATAACGTATGGCGACCCCCGCCGCACCGCAATCTCCTCGATCCTCACACCGACAGACCATATACCGATCGGTTGATGAAGTACTGTTGATCGCTCCATGCGTCATTGGGTAGATGGCTTGCCATACTAGGCGTGAATACCTCGATAGACGATACTTGTGGGAAACTTTGCCCTTCTGGGTGGGGGGGGAGTGATTGACTGGTGGTGCATCGGTGGTCCGTTCAAGCTAAAACGCGTTGACAGGCCTATCACCCAATAACCTAGACTGATGCTCTGCGCTACCGCAAATGTTTGGACATGACAGTCCGCGGAGCATTTACCAGAGGCGGTCAACCTATCGCTTGGAAACTTTCCGCATTGCTTCCTCGGGATCATTTCAGAGGCGAAACGACGTAAAAAAAAGGTACAATCGTGCCTTCTGGGTTGACGTCGCCCGCCATGGCAAACCCTCCCACAAACCGCATGGCCTTGATAGTGTCCATACGCATGAGTCGGAAATCGCCGAAGTCTACCCAGTAGGCGTTCGGGTGCTTTTTCTTGTACATCTCGCGGACGCTGGGGAGGTCTTCTTCCGGCACCTGGGTTGTCAATCAAATAATGTCCTGCGTGTTGAACCAAACTGAATCAAACGACGAGTCAAATTTTCATGAGTCGGAACGGATAAATGCACACATACCTGTGCCACGAGGGTACGTCAAAAAATGAACGAAAACACTAGCGGACCCTAGGGGATCCGTCATCTTCTTCAGAACGCAAAGCAATTAGACAAGCCTCTCCTTTCCAAGCGGCGTCGACCACTTTCGGTTCCCGCAGGGAAAAGCCCGATACACAACGTACAAGCGTCATGCTGCAAAACCGTGGCTACAGTAGTACTTAGATACATGGCCAAAGCACGGAGGTCACTGAGAAACAGCAGCACCATGTCCGACACATGACCGCACCTTGTTCACGTCTCCGATCAAGCTCACGCGGCCATCCGCCGCCCCCTGAGAGCAGCCGAGGTGGAGAAGGCGAGGGAAAAAAAAATAAAAGACGAGAAAACAATGATGTTATCGTCGAATGTGCGTCTTCTCCGGGGTATTCAATTTCACATGGTATACGGTGGTCGTGACCATGGGGAAGTACAGTAGAGCCATATGGGGTGTGCCGATCACAAAGTGGTACCCGCACTAGCGTAGGCATCAACGGCACAAAAACGAAACAAAAACACCGGCATTCAACGGATCAGGCTGATCAAGTCAGTACGGGTGTTGCGATCTTCCCGGTGAATGCCAGATCTCGAGTTGGGGGCACGAAATTTGTATCTATCGGGCAGGCGAGGTCAAGCCAAGCTGTGGTTAGTGCGCCTGAACGTTGGAGGCCCTGAAAATCAACGGCAAGCAACCAGAGTGGAGAGAATTTTTATCGGAGACAGAAGAGCTACATACCGAGCAAAGTCATGATCCCGGTGATGTAAAGCTGTGGAGACAGTCGGCGGCATAAAACTCCTGTACCAGCGACCGTCAACACAACGCCAGATATGAGTGAAACAACAACCTCAGAAGGAATACAGCTGGAACCAAGTCGTGGTTCCGGCATGACTTACCTTGAAGGTTGCCGCGGTTACCGTGAGGCTGACGCGGGAGTCAGCGGCGAGGTCTCCCGTGTGCGCGCTCATGGAGCTGAACGCGAATAGGGGTCGGCCCTTCTCGTCCAGGGAAAACCCCACCACCGAGCCGCTAGGGTACCTGACAACCCAGAAAAAGGACACCACGCGAGAAGAGGAAGAAGCGCAAGAGGGGAGCATATTAAACAGGGTGCAAAGGTGACCGTCGGAAGGAGCGGGGAGCGAAATATATATCGCTCGTTGTCGTATCCCAGACGCCAAAACCCATGCTAATACAATACCGAATGTAGGTGACGTGTGGAAGCGTTGAAGCGAAAGCAGGGACCGGCAAAACACGGGCGAACGACGGAGATCCAGAGAAGAGGGAGGGAGCTACGACGGCCTGGCGGTAAAAGAGGTGGTCCAATCCCATCGAGAGAATAGCCCTTCGCCATGCGGCGAGGGTAATCCGTTTCAAAGTAAAACACGCGGAGTGTATCCGCGATCCACGAGAGGTCGCCCCTGAACGCGAGATGGTGTGGTTTTTGCGTACACAATACCGTTGAGATGTCCCTCAGACAGAACCGGTGACGAGCATGGATACGAAGTTGGAGCTAGACTGCAAATAAAAACAAAATATACTGCGAAGCACAGTGCGCTCACCCTTCGAGCGTCCGGGAGTTGGTGCTGAGCACTCCAAAGCCAGTGCTATACTGCATCAGGTTTCTGACCTCTGTCGAGGAGAGTAACGGCACAGGAGGAAACGAGGGCGGCGGGTGTCGCGAGCTGCTGAGTACTGTACACAAGCAAACAGACCCAATGCCTGCATAAAAACACCCGTATCACGGACAAAACACGCACGGCGCAGCCTTGCAGCATTCCATCACGTAGTATTCCAGAAATCATCGGGACAAGAACACACACACGACGATTGCGTTCTTGGTTACAACACTAACAGAAAACCACCGGGTGCGGAATATATTCTGGGGGGTGTGGTATCTTCGTTGATCCTACTACTTGATCTGAGAGTACCACGTTTTCGGTTGGTCTTGAGCCGCAAAAACGTTATCTCCTGATGTGTTACTCTGGAGGACGCAGTTTCTATTGTGGGGATGTTTTCTCGTGTGAGATGCGATGAATTGATCATTTAACGTGGCGAGCAACGAACGTCCCTTCGACTACTATCCTGCGTCCAGAAACACGCTGGGAATATTCCCGACCAATTGCACACGAAGCCCGCGCACAAGAGCACGCATGGTCAACGGCAAATATCGTTCACATACTTTTTAATTGTGAAGACAAACAAACAGCAGCCACTTCCGAGCCTACAACAAGCCGAAAAGCACCAACTTTGGTTTGAATGCAGTACCCACCCTCCGTGTGCGAGAGGCGAGCGGCGCCCTGCTGGTGCTGCTGTATCCTGGCCGCCAGGGCCTCTTGCTCTGGAGACGTCTGCGGCCCGGGGCCGGCGGCGTGTCCGGTGGCCTTGGGAGGGCTGTGTCCGCTTGCTTCACAACGAAAACAAGGGAGGGGATCCGCAATGTCAAATGTTCCCCTATCGAGAGTAGTGCAGTAGCCCATTAAGGTTGCGGTGAATCGTCTGTAAGTGCGAATGATACCTCCCATGGCTTGCGCCTCTCCCCCAAACAAGTGGAACAATTGGCACAAAATGCCAAATGAACCAGGCTTAGCTCTTCTGCTGACGGCAGCTGTTCGCCGCCTGCCGTTTGGCATGCACCGCTATTGAAAGTGTGTGCAAAGTACAACATGCAGGGTCAGGTGTCCCCCACCGGCCACTCCCCAGCCCTGCCTGTAGATGCCCGAATCATCTCCCACTGCGAAATCTACGCTCACCCTCTTCTTCCTTTTTCTCGGTTGCGCTGTCCCCTGAAGCTTCCATTCTGAGTCTTCGCTTTTGACCGCTACGACCCGAAGAAGAAAAGGAGGGGACACGAGACAAAGATCCCCGTGTTGGAATGCGGTGTGCGTTCTGCGCGATTGAAAAGCGCGCACAGGCTGCACACAGGAGGGGTAGGGGGGGGAGTTGGGGCGGTAAAAATAGGTTTCGTGCGGTTCTTCGGTCATCGTAGGTGTTGCCGCCCTAGAAACCTCTTCATAGCATGGTACTTCGAAGTTGTTCAACAAGTATACCACAACAGGAGTACTAGCGATGCAGCCCGCCGTCCCCGTGCTCTATCCTGCCATGACAGCTGGTTTTCAACGAAAACCGGGTCCTCCCTGAATCAGTTATCTGCGAAGGACACGTTCAACATTATGTCTTGAAATGCAAAACTAATCGACAGAACTCATGACTCGGAGCCAAGCATCATTCGGGGACCCTCTCGCTTCTGTTCCGGCCAGAACAATTTGCCACACACACACCAGTAGCCCAATTTCGAGGCCTCAACGTCGACGTCGTATCGACATCCTTGGGATTAACATCGCTACCCCTCCAACGAGACGAAAGGTCTATTCTTGTGTGCAGCCTCCCGAAAACTGTACAACTCGCGAGCCTGCGCCGGTATTTTCCGAACGGTTCGATGCCGTTGAATACAACATCGGGGGGGAAAGACGTTTGGTCCCATATCACGCAGCTCTTGGCACTGTAGGCTACCTAGGCTACCCCTAAGGCAAACCCTTTATAATCTGGAAGAGATTTTCGGTACGCACAACGACAGCGGGCTCTCGAACGACGCAGCAACCAAACTATTGTGATTATAGCTTTCCAAGGTACGGCTAAGACTCGCCTGGAGATGCAGTGAAGGCGCGAGCGCCAGCCAGGAGCAGCGAAGATGTCCCGCAGGTGATGAATGCACGCATCACTAGGCAAGATCTGCGTCGATGGTGAACCATCGACGACCCGCCGGTCAAGGCGAAACAAGAAAATGAAAGTAAAAAGTGGCCGCGATAGCAAGAGGGGAGAGAAGGAGGAGGGGCACGCGCGGAAGTTGGAGAATCACGGTTCATACGTCGCAACTGTGCAGTGCTCGGTGGAGCCAGGGGGACTTAAGCGCATCCCAAAGCTACGCAGCAACTGCCGGCCCTCAAACGGCCAGGTGTCGCAATGCTGGGCAGCCAACGGACATGCATGCTGGGTGAGTGCGAGACTCGTGGGGTGTTGACATAAAAGCATGTAGTACTTCCTTGACTTCAGGATATTTAGCGCACGGCGAAGGTATGTAGCGCATGCATCGGTTGATCAACGTTATGCACACCACGCACCAGGGGAGCGATAGAGCATTCCAGAGCAGCAAAGAGAAGCACACAGAAGCGTAGGCGACCGGCACAACTTCCCAGCGGGGGGCAAGAGAGGTAGGTTCCTACTGTAACGGCGGTGTCAGCATGTCAAGTTGTCAGGATGTCAGCAAGATATCTGACTCTTCGTCGCACAGCACCAAGCTCCTTGGGGGAATATACTGTAGTTGCCTTAATCGAAACTGCTTGTGGCCGCCGCCACTCGTTGCTTATTTCCTGCTTCTTTCCAGTGTGTTCGGGGCCAGTGGGCTTTGGTAGGGCTGCACCTACACGGCAAGAAGGAAGCGAGGCCTGACTAAGCTGGAACGCATCATGGCGGAGAACTTCAACGCCACGCAGACGCATTAATTCCACACTTCACCTAGAACAACGGCAAAGCAGCTGGCCATACACAAAGCTTGTACCTGCCAGTAATTCCATGATCTACTCACCGGTGGTAATCAGGCAGAGCAGGAACCTCGTTGATGGTGCAGTCGAAGAGCTTCGCCACTCGCCACTTCGCCACTTGGCAAACGGGGCGTTGTACCTCCTGCGATGGGGTTTTAGCGGGACTGTCATCACCGCAGAGGAATTACGCAATCCGCCTCTCGTTGCAGCAGCGCCGCAACAGCGTCCTCTCTGTCTTGCTCTCTACCCACCACTCTGTCGAGATCATGGCCAGGGTAGCACGGACGTACATGAAATACTGGCCAACGGATGCCGTCCTGAGAGGAACGGCGGTGCTGGAAGACCTCATGCTGTGCTCGTTTTCCACCAAGGATCTCTTGGCAGGGTGGGATGTCACCACCGACCAGAGCTGGGGCGGCAAGTAAGAAGAGTGTGCAAGGGAGAGGCTTTCAAGCTGACGTCGGATCACCGCGGCGCCAAAATAGACTGCTGCTGTATTGGTTTAGAATGTATCAGGGTACGGACACAGCAGTGGTTTATTTCGTTCTCTCCCAGGAAACGGAGGTGGTTGCAGGTTGCAACAAACTACAAGCGGCAGCCAGGGTGCGGCGCGATGCGTATGTAAATTAGCGTCATAGTCGAATCTATGTTCCGTGTGCATCTATGGTCCACGTGAATGCATATTTTCCGTGGAGGCAGTGTTGCGGAAAGGTGAATGCAGCGGAGAGAAACTGCCGGTTTGCTGTTCTGTATGTAGGTGTGCAGTGCCCGATCAGCAAACCGAGCTTCTTCAACTCAGAGCCGCCGGCACTGCACGTGTAATACGAAACCTGTGTCGATTAATGTAGTTTTTGGGTTGTTGTGCCTGTGCCTGTCAAGCGGTTGCACCCGCCAGAATTAAGTACCGGCGCTTTTCCAACGGCCATCGATTGCCCTCGAGCACTTGTTGCTGTTGCTCTAAGCTCTGCGCAAACTCAGCTGCTGTCTTGTAGATATATGTGTCGCTGTTCTATCTCCGTGTAGTGTTTCATTACTACGCGCGTTGGTGCAGGCAAAGCATACATGTGCCGTTGGTCTCTCTCCGTCTGATACATAGTTGCTGCGAGCGTTGGTGCAGGCGAAGCGTGCATGTGTTGTTGTTCTCTCTCCGCCTAACATTTCATTTCTACAAGCGTTGGTGCAGGCAAAACCTGCCGTTGTACTGGAGCGATATTTTCTTTCGAACTGGGCGGACTCACGCCAAATAATGACATCCAAATAACATGACTTCAAGTTGTGGACCTCGTCCCATCCATGCTGATATTTCTCCACCAAAGGGTGCATCTCTTTCAACGAGAATTTTTTCGCGTTAACAGGGTTGTGCCGTCACCAAATAAGAAGCTAACGCTTGGTCGTTGAATTTGTGCTGCCGTATGCCCGCCTTTCACTAGCTACCGAACATTGTCACCGCGTCCAGCAGTTTTGCTCGAAGCAGATGTGAAAGCTGTTTTTCTCCACACACCGTACTTTTCAGATGTCGTCTGCCTCTACCCACCGACACTCATCTGGAATGCATCGCACCGACGCTATTTGTTCACCGCCCTGATGCCAGATCTACCGCCACCGTTGCGTGGAAACCGTGGGAACGATTGGGCGGAACCGATGGTACGGCTTCCGCCACGGAGGCCGATGCCGCTGGTGGCGGCGCTTGTGTCTTGGACGTGCAGCCGTGGAGACTTTTCGAAGGAACGCCTGCGATGGTATGTTTGGGGTTGGAGTGCCGCATTTGGCTGATTCGTGTTTGCCTCGCCATGGCACTCACTTGTGGATCAAGTTTGACGCTGCTGTGTTTCGTGGTGTGCTTTTTCGTCGGTAGAACGTGAAAGCCTTATATCAACTCATTTTTTGTTTTCAATAAAATGTACGTTTAGTGGCCAACATGACAGCGATTCAAGGACTATTTTCACCTGGAATTGCACCAAAAGGAGGGGCGATGTGCGACATATTATCGGTGTATCACACTACTATCTAGCATATTCCTGAGCCACAAGAGACGATGGCCAGTTGGCCACAATGATGTTGATCGCTCCCCCCATATCTGGCTTTGAAGAA